CTAAAAGGGTTCTAGACTAAAGAAACAAGAATATGTGGGCACATCTAGTAGTGCAAAATGATAACAACATAAATATCACTACATGAGTAACAACAGGCCCTACACCCTATTACAAATACAAAGCATTTCATGATAGAAATGTAATACCAGTGACCTACATGGTTTCCCATGGTTTTAAAAACTAAAGTAATGGAGCGATCATCAGCTCAGTAAGCAATGTTTATGCTGATAATTCAAATTATGTTAAAAAAAAGGCTTGTAAATTTAATGTGTGACCATACAGTGCATCCAGAAAGTATTCACAGCGCTTAACTTTTACCACATTTTGTTATGTTACAGCCTTATTCCAAAATGGATTACATTCACTTTTCCCTCAACATTCTACAAACAATACCCCATAATGACAACATGAAAAAAGTTCATTTTGAAATCTTTGCAATTTATTACACACAAAAAATTAAAAAAAAACACATGTACATAAGTATTCACAGCCTTGCTCAATACTTTGCTGAAGCACCTTTAGCACCAATTACAGCCTCGAGTCATCGCAGGTCACTCCAGGACATTCACAGAGTTGGCCCGTAGCCACTCCTTTGTTATGTGGGCTGTGTGCTTAGGGTCGTTGTCCTGTTGAAAGATGAACCGTCACCCCAGTCTAAGGTCCAGAGCGCTCTGGAACAGGTTTTCATCAAGGATGTCTCTGTATATTGCTGCATTCGTCTTTCCTTTGATCCTGACTAGTCTCTCAGTTCCTGCCACTGAAAAACATCCCCACAGCATGATGCTGCCACCACCGTGCTTCACTGTAGGGATGGTATTGGCCAGGTGGTGAGCAGTGCCTGGTTTCCTCCAGACATGACGCTTGGCATTCAGGCCAAACAGTTCAATCTTTGTTTCATCAGACCAGAGAGTTTTGTTTCTCATGGGCTGCCTCAGGTGCCTTTTGGCAAACTCCAGGAGGGCTGCCATTTGCCTTTTACTGAGGAGTGGCTTCTGTCTGGCCACTCTACCATACAGGGCTGATTAGTGGAGTTCTGCAGAGATGGTTGTTCTTCTGGAAGTTTCTCCTCTCTCCACAGAGAAAAGCTGGAGCTCTTTCAGAGTGACCATCGGGTGCTTGGTTACCTTCCTGACTAAGGCCCTTCTCCCTTGATCGCTCATTTTGGCTGCGCGGCCCACTCTAGGAAGATTCCTGGTGGTTCCAAACTTCTTCCATTTATGGATGATGGAGGCCACTGTGCCCACTGGGACCTTCAATGCTCCAGAAAATTTTCTGTACCCTTCCCCAGATCTGTGCCTTGATACAATCCTGTCTCGGAGGTCTACGGACAATTCCTTGGACTTCATGGTTTGGTTTGTGCTCTGACATGCACTGTTAACTGTAAGACCTTATATAGACAGGTTTATGCCTTTCCTAATCATGTCCAGTCAACTGAATTTCCCACAGATGGACTCCAATCAAGTTTTAGAAACATCTCAAAGATGATCAGTGGAAACAGGATGCACCAGAGCTCAACTTTGAATGTCATGGCAAAGGCTGTGAATACTTATGTACATGTGTTTTTTTTCTTTATTTTTAATAAATTGCAAAGATTTCAAAATTAACTTCTTCCACATTGTCATTATGGGGTACTGTTTGTAGAATGTTGAGGAAAGAAATTAATTTACTCCATTTGGAATAAGGCTGTAACATAACAAAATGTGGCAAACGTTAAACGCTGTGAATACTTTCTGGATGCACTGTATCCTTTAATTTTCAAATGTGCGGTTTTTCATATTGTGTATGCTCTTTTTCATAAGTTACCGTATTTTCCGGCGTATAAGACGACTTTTCAACACAAGAAAAACTTCTGAAAAGTCGGGGGTCGTCTTATACGCCGGTATACGGCGAGCCAGTGTCAGGGCGGCACTTTTTCGAGGGGCGGGGCGGCGCGGCGCCGCCCCCCCTCCTCCTTCAATGGACACTAAGTACAGGGGTGGGCAGAGGGGCTGCTGTACCTTACCTGGCTCCGGTCCCGGTCCCACGACGATCCGGTCCAGGAAGCGCAGCTGCTCCTTCTTTCAGTTCGGCCGCTCAATGGTCACGCGCGCGGCCGCTCGGCTCCGCCTCCTCACCGGTGATTGGGCGCCAGCACTGGAAAGGCACACAGGCGACCAATCACCGGCCAGGAGGCGGAGCCGAGCGGCCCCGCGAAAATCTGAAAGAAGGAGCAGCCGCTGCTCTCCCTCACTGACACTAACGATGGGGCACTATTCCTCCCCCACTGACACTAACGATGGGGCACTATTCCTCCCCCACTGACACTAACGATGGGGGCACTATTCCTCCTCCACTGACACTAACGATGGGGCACTATTCCTCCTCCCCACTGACACCAACGATGGGGCACTATTCCTCCTCCCCACTGACACCAACGATGGGGCACTATTCCCCCCCCACTGACACCAACAATGGGGCACTATTCCTCCTCCCCACTGACACCAACGATGGGGCACTATTCCTCCTCCCCACTGACACCAATGATGGGGCACTATTCTCTCCACTGATACCAATGCTGGGGCACTATTCCTCCCACTGATACCAATGATGGGGCACTATTCCTCCCACTGACACCAATGCTGGGGCACTATTCCTTCCACTGATACCAATGATGGGGTGCTATTCCTCCCACTGACACCAATGATGGGGCACTATTCCTCCCACTGACACCAATGATGGGGCACTATTCCTCCCACTGACACCAATGATGGGACACTATTCCTCCCACTAACACCAATGTTGGGGTGCTATTCCTCCCACTGATACCAATGATGGAGCACTATTCCTCCCACTGACACTAATGGGGCACTATTCCTCCCACTGACACCAATGATGGGGCATGATTCTTCCCACTGACACCAATGATGGGACACTATTCCTCCCACTGACTAATGATGGGGCACTATTCCTCCCACTGACACTAATGATGGGACGCTATTCCTCACACACTGACACTAATGATGGGGCACCATCATTGGTGTCAGTGGGAGGAATAGTGCCCCATCATTAGTCAGTGGGAGGAATAGTGCCCCATCATTGGTGTCAGTGGATGAAATAGTGCCCCATCATTGGTGTCAGTGGGAGGAGTAGTGCCTCATCATTGGTATCAGTGGGAGGAATCGTGCCCCATCATTGGTGTCAGTGGGAGGAATAGTGCTCCATCATTGGTGTCAGTGGGAGGAATAGTGCCCCATCATTGGTGTCAGTGGGAGGAATAGTGCCCCATTAGTGTCAGTGGGAGGAATAGTGCTCCATCATTGGTATCAGTGGGAGGAATAGCACCCCATCATTGGAATACCATACTGAAATAGCATATCATATTGAAATCAAATCTGATGTTTTTTCATTTGTATTTGGTGTGCGTTGGAAGAGGGGTAGTCTTATACGGCGAGTATAGCTCAAACCCTATATTTTAACAGGAAAAGTAGGGGGTCGTCTTATACGCCCAGTCGTCTTATACGCCGGAAAATACAGTAGTTTTATATACCAGATTATAAAACTTTTCAGTGAAGAAATTTAATGACGTTGCTCTATTAAAAGCATTTTGGTTTGTGCTTTTTTAATTATGCGTCACAACTGGGAAAAACAAGCCTTACTTATTCATGCTCTGGGAAAGAGATAAATTAATTAGTAATCTGCACCTTTTCAGTATTTCTGATGAAAATTCCTAATGTAGTAGATCTGCTTTGGCTTCCTTTAGTGGGTATATCTTGCATCTCTGTTTTCTACACATTCTTAGGAATGCAAGAATATTATATACTGCAAAGGACACTCACACACTGTTCCAGCTAAACAGGGGGACAGTGTTGTGAGTTTTAGAAAGCAAGCTGCCTGTTTGATATCTTCAGTCATGATCTTTTTTTTTAAATTTATTATGTTAAAGCTGAACTCTGGGGAAATTTCAAAACTATCCTTACCGACTCTACAAAAGTGAAATTCTAATCTTGTCTAGGGTACCATTGAATACAGTTTTACTTACCTTATATCCTGCTTCCTTAGCAGCTGGAATTCACCTCTTCTTTTCAGAGCTCCAGGTTGTGGTTGGTGCCTTGGCATTCTCACTTACAATGCATTATTGGTGCAATGCAAATAGGAATGGAGCTATGCTAGTGCGTTGTATTGCAGTAACCGGGTAGTGTACAGCATTGTCAATTCACCTATGTGCATTATATGAACTTTGTGCATATTATGGCACTTGGTGTGCTTTTTATGTGAGTGTCCTGTTTTAGCTTTTTAGTAAACATTTGGAATTGTACGGAAATCACTACTGATCTTATTCCTTTTGCATGAGCGTTTTCCATGTGTGTAGAAAGAGGAGGAGGGAAAGAGTTATTTCAGGAGCTGATCTGATGTACCATTTGAAGCCAGAATTGTGTGTAGAGACCATGAAGAGGCATACGCATGTGACCTTGATTTTTGAATTGCGGTCAATATCCAGAAGTGAGCAGGTATGGTTCATGGGAGGTGATATCCATGCTGCACATGGGTGACTTGACATGTGAGGATTAACCACTAGCCTACAGGGCACTTATACCCCCTTCCTGTCCAGGCCAATTTCCAGCTTTCAGCGCTGTTACACTTTGAATGACAATTGTGCGGTCATGAAACACTGTACCCATATGACATTTTTATCATTTTTTTGTGACAGATAGAGCTTTTTTTTTGGTGGTATTTAATCACCTCTGGGTTTTTTATTTTTTTCTTAAACAAACCAAAAACCACTGAAAATTTGAAAAAAAAATTTTTTCTTAGTTTTTGTTATAAAATGTTGTTGATGGGCACTGATAGGCTGCACTGATGGACACTTATAGGTGACACTGATGGGCACTGATGAGGAGGCACTGGTAGGTGGCACTGATGGGCATTGACAGGCATCAGTGATGGGCACTGAAAGGCAGCACTCATATATGGCACTGATAGGCGGCACTGATAGGTGGCACTGATAAGCTGCACTGACTGGCACTGTTAGGTGGCACTGACTGGCACTGTTAGGCAGCACTGATAGGCGGCACTGATTCACACTGATAGGCAGCACTGACTGGCACTGATAGGTGGCACTGATTGGCAGCACTGATAGGTGGCACTGACTGACATTGATAGGTGGCACTGATTGGCACTGACGTGTGACACTGAAAGGCAGCTCAGATGGGCACTGATATGTGGCATTGATGTGCACTGGTAGGCACTGATATGTGGCATTGATGGGCACTGGCAGGTGGCATGGATGAGCACTGACAGATGGCACTGATGGACACTGACAGGTGGCACTGCTACGGTTACACAGATCAGCAGGGCACACCGATCATCAGTGTCCTGATGATCAGTGTACATGTCCCCTCTGAGGGATGATGATTACCGGCTCTCCTCTCCTCACGAGCTGTCAGCGGGACATCTCGTGAGGAGAGAAATGCCGATAACCGGCATTTCCCTGTTTACATGTGATCAGCTGTGATTGGACACAGCTGATCACATGACCTAGCCGACATCTTTGGCTCTTTCCATTGATCGGTGATCCGCTGTGTTCGAGGGACACAGCGTACCGCCGATCGCCACGCTGCACGCTCCCGGAGCCGTGCATGCGACATCATATGACGTTCTGTTAGAACAGGAGGCAGTTAAAGAAATTTAGACTACATTGGGGAGGGTTCCATCCCATGTGGACATCTTCATATGGCTTACATTAGGTTGAAATTTTTCTGAAACAAATGCCTGTGTTTTAATATTTTGAGATCTTTACTGATTAAAGGCATGGCACAAATAAAGGAGGGTAAATGTGCAGAGACAGTCAGTGAAGAGGAGAGGGCATGCAAACTATCTGCTTGGGTTAAAGATAGAAAGGGGGCATTCTAAATATCCTCTTTGAATAGAACTTGGAGTGATAGGGGTTTAAGTTATTTTACAAACTAGCTTCAAGAGCATTGCAATGAGTTAGAGAGAGATGAATGAAAGGCTTGGTTGGAACTGCCTTCATGCTTTTATACACTGAAACACAAAGGAAAAAGAAGACAGAGATGGAAATGGAGCTTAAAACTTCAGCTTGCATTGGCTTTTGTTTGTATGGGACACTTCTAGTAAGGCTAATGATTTGGAGACACAAGTAAAGATATTATAGGTCCAACCTAGATTAACTTCAACATGTGTACATAATCTTGCGGATGATGTCAACAATTTGGATTAGAATTGTGCAGCCCTCATGAAAAAATTAATTACATAGTTACATAGCTAGTCTGGCTGAAAAAAGACAAAAGTCCATCCAGTTTAACCATTAAAAAAAAAAAAAGTTATAATCCTATACCCATAGTTGATCCAGAGGAAGGCAAAAAAACCAAGCAAAGCATGATCCAATTTGCTACTGCAGGAAAACAAAATTCCTTCATGATCCCCTGAGAGGCGACTGGATATTCCCTGGATCAACTTTATCTATAAATGTTAGTTCCCTAAGAAATTCCCTAAGAAATAACAAAGTCTAAAGTCTGTAAGTAAAGACTTTGAGCATGCTGATCAGATGATCATTGATCAGCTGGTGATTAACAGAAATTACATGTCCACCTGCCATGGTGGCAGACAGGACTTTTAGTTCATTCATCCACAAATTTCTGCCCTGCACAGTCCCACCATTCTTAAATGTGACAGCTAGTGTGGGGGACAGTAACCCCCCACCTGCAGTCACAGGGAACGGGCTCTGGCGGCAGAAGGTGGGTGAATAGACGCATGTTACTCTAACCCATATCTTCAACCTCTCACTCTCCATGGGCACCTCTCCCTCCCCACTCAAACATGCACTGGTTACCCCCATCCTCAAAAAACCCTCGCTGGACCCCACCTGTTTGAATAACTTAAGACCCAACTCCCTGCTCCCGTTTGCCTCCAAGCTTCTAGAGTGCCTTGTTCACAACCGTATGAACTGCTACCTCATTGACAACAACTTTCATGATCCCCGACAGTCTGGCTTCCGCCCACAACATTCCACAGAAACTGCCCTACTAAAACTTACTGATGACCTACTAACTGCGAAATCCAACGGCCATTACTCCATACTCATACTCCTTGACCTTTCCGCTGCCTTTGACACAGTCGACCACCCGCTCCTCCTCAGTAAACGCCACTCCATCGGCCTCCGTGACAATGCTCTATCCTGGTTCTCCTCTTACCTTTCTCAGCGCACTTTCAGTGTCACATACAACTCCTCCTCCTCCGCTCCGCTTCCTCTTTCTGTTGGGGTACCCCAAGGTTCTGTCCTTGGGCCCCTCCTTTTCTCTCTCTTTACCTCCTCCCTGGGCCAACTGATAACCTCCCATGGCTTCCAATACCACCTCTATGCTGATGACACCCAGATCTATCTCTCCACTCCCCAGCTCACCCCCTCAATCTCCTCCCGTATCACAAATCTGCTAAGCGACATATCAGCATGGATGTCACATCACTACCTTAAACTCAATCTTTCAAAAACTGAGCTTGTAATATTTCCTCCCCCCCGATCCCCCACTCAGGACTTTACCATTAAGATCAACAGCACAACCGTCCTTCCCCTCAAGCCAGGGTGCTAGGTGTAATCCTAGACTCTGACCTTTGGGCCCCACATCCACTCACTGGCTAAATCCTGCCGCCTCAACCTCCGGAACATTTCCAAAATCCGCCCCTTCCTGACCAATGACACCACAAAACAACTTATCCATGCCTTGGTTATATCCCGCCTCGATTACTGCAACTCCCTCCTCACTGGTCTACCGTTACACAGGCTATCCCCCCTTCAGTCTATTATGAATGCTGCTGCTAGACTCATACACCTTACCAACCGATCAGCGACTGCTGCCCCCTCTCTGCCGATCCCTTCACTGGCTTCCACTAACCCAACGTATAAAATTCAAAATACTAACCACAGCTTACAAAGCCATCCACAACACTGCCCCTAGCTACATCACCAACCTTATCCACAGATACCGCCAAATCGCCCACTCCGCTCCTCCCGTGATATCCTCCTCTCTAGCTCCCTCATCACCTCCTCCAATGCTCGCCTCCAGGACTTCTCCAGAGCCTCTCCCATCCTCTGGAACTCCCTACCACAACATGTCTGGTCAGCCCCCACCCTGTCTGCCTTTAGGCAATCTTTGAAAACTCACTTCTTTAGGGAAGCCTACCCCACCTCCACTGAAGAACTGTACTTGAATCACCTCCGCCAGATCATCCCCCGCAGTTATCACCTTTTGTATCACCTCTCCCTTCCTTTAGATTGTAAGTTCCACAAGCAAGGCCCTCCTATTCCTTCTGTACTGAAATATATTGTAATTGTACTGTCTCCCTGATATTGTAAAGCGCTGCGCAAACTGTTGGAGCTATATAAATCCTGTATAATAATAATATGATGAATACTGCAGAGGAGAGTTATAATCGATGCGGGGCAGATCATGTGAGATCATAGCTATATCTGATTCAGATGAGTACTGCAGAGCAGACTTATAATCGATGCGGGGCAGATCATGTGAGATCATAGCTATATCTGATTCAGATGAATACTGCAGAGGAGAGTTATAATCGATGCGGGGCAGATCATGTGAGATCATAGCTATATCTGATTCAGATGAATACTGCAGAGGAGAGTTATAATCGATGCGGGGCAGATCATGTGAGATCATAGCTATATCTGCTTCAGATGAATACTGCAGAGAAGAGTTATAATCGATGTGGGGCAGATCATATGAGATCATAGCTATATCTGCTTCAGATGAATACTGCAGAGGAGAGTTATTTTATCCTATGTCTGTTGAAGTGTTAAAGCTGCTGAGAAACTGTTTCATATTTTTGCAATGGTTGAGAAAGTTTTCAAGGTTCTTTGTTTTCTTTTTTTCAGGCTTTCCCCTTGTTTTCCTTTTTGTGACCCTGTCAGTAACAAAATTCCTGTCCAAGTGTGGCAACGCTCACTTAATGTACTGTACCTATGGAGAAGCACGGCATTTTGCTTGCACTGGATTGGATGATGACAGTCAGCAGAGCTTCACCTCATTTACTACATTCTGGGACAATTTCCCCTACAAAGTAAACAGCCTGTTTGCCTGTAGTAAATCATCCCCAAAGACTCAAGATTTCTGGAAAGACCAACAGGTATTCTTCTGTATCTGCATTGGTATGTTTATTATTTATCTATTACAGGTACATATATAGCGCTGTCAATTTATGGAGCACCTTATATATCTATTGCACATTCACATCAGTCCCTCCCCTCAAGGAGCTTACAATCTAAGGTCCCTAACTCACATTCAAACATACACATACTGGGGACAATTTACACAGGAGCCAATTTACCTACCAGCATGTCTTTGGGGTGTGGTCTTTAAACTGTTCCAATTAGATTACATAGAAAATGGGGGAATTCATGGAGAGGGAGAAAACGAATAGCTGATAGTTGAGGAAGAAGCAAAACTTTGTCATGTGTGCTCTGAGGAAGAAAACACAGTTTACCATGTGCTTCAAGAGCAGTGATTAACTAGCTGCCGACCGCAGATAGCCGAATGACGGCTGCACTGCGGCCGGCCAGTTCTGGGTGGACGTCATATGACGTCCTCCCAGGGGGCGCGCACCCGGCGGTCTCCGTGATCGCTGTGTCCTACGGACACAGCTGATCACGTGATGTGGTAAAAGGCCAATCACAGCGGCCTTTTACCACGTGATCAGCGGTGTCCAATGACACGCTGATCAGAGGAAAATGCAAGTGCCGGTTCTCGGCTGCACTTTCCTCACGCTGTCAGATCGTGAGGAAAGTACTGCCGAGAACCGGCAGTTGTCAGAGCGGGGATCGGCACCGATCATCAGGGCACTGATGATCAGTGCCCTGATGATCGGTGCTCAGCAGTGCCACCCGCAAGCTCCGCCCACCTGTGCCCAGCAGTGCGCCCACTAGCTCCGCCCACCTGTGCCCAGCAGATCACCCACCTGTGCCCAGCAGTGCCCCCACCTGTGCCCAGCAGTGCACCCACCTGTGCCACTCTGCAGTGTCACCCACCTGTGCCCAGAAGTGCCACCCACCTGTGCCCAGCAGTGCCACCCACCTGTGCCACCCACCTGTGCTGTGCCCACCTGTGCCCACCCACCAGTGCTGCCAGTCAGTGCCACCAGTCAGTGCCCAGGGGTTGTGCCAGTCAGTGCCCAGCAGTGATGCCAGTCAGTGCCGTCTATCAGTACCCATCATCAGTGTCACCTATCAGTGCCGCCTATCAGTGCTGCATATTAGTGGCCGCCTATCCGTGACACCTCATTAGTGCTGTCTATCAGTGCCGCCTATCCGTGCCACCTCATTAGTACTGCCTATCAGTGCCCTTTAGTGCTGCCTATCAGTGCCCATCAGTGCCGCCTATCAGTGCCCATCAGTGCTGCCTCATCAACGCACATCAGTGAAGGAGAAAAAAATACCTGTTTGAAAAAAATTTTATAATAGAAACAAAGAAACTTTTTTTTTTTTTTTCAAATTTTTTGCACTTGTTTTATTTATAGCGCAAAAAGTAAAGCGCCCAGCGGCGATTAAATACCTCAAAAGAAAGCTCTATTTGTGAGAAAAAAATGATC